CACCAATACACTGTTACATGGAAAGTTATCTGGATATAAGGATGGACAATAAAGATGGCAAACCACCAATACACTGGTACCTGGAAAATTGTCAGGATATAAGGATGGTAAATAAAGATGGCAAACCACCAATACACTGGTACCTGGAAAATTGTCAGGATATAAGGATGGACAATAGAGATGGGAAACCACCAATACACTGGTACCTTGAAAATTGTCTGGATATAAGGCCGGGCAATACAGATAAAAAACCACCAATACACGGTAACATAGAAAATTGTCAGGACATAAGGATGGACATTACAGATGACAAATTACCCATACATAAGATTGTCAGGAACTATGGACAAAGAATAGAGAGGTAAAATCACCCATACACTAGTGCAGAGTAAATCGTCAGCATCTCGGTGCAAATAATAGAAATGAAATACCACCAATACACTTATACAGAAAATATATTCAGGACCTAGGGAAAAACAATGGAGATTACAAATCATCAATGCATTAGTGCAGAGTAAATCGTCAGGATTTCGGTGCAAATAATAGAAATAAGATTCCAGCAATACACTTATAAAGAGATTGTTGTCAGGACACAGGGACAAAGAATGGAGATGACAAACTGCCAAAACAGAAAAAGGTGGTCAGTCATTATGTGTGTACATTACTGATACAAATGTCATAATGTATAATGAATCTTTCTGATACATCAATTGGTACAACATGTGTCAGTATTTTTTTCTCTATTTGATCATTTAAAAGTTCAAAAGATCACACACACACACACACCCTCACACACACACACACACACACACACACACACACACACATATATATATATATATATATATATATATATATATATATATATATATATATATATATATTAAGCACTAAAAGTGACCAACGAATAAAAATTGTCAAATTTTCGGGACGCCCTGTCCCTTCCTCAGGACAAAGAAAAAAGTTAAAAAGTCATAAGAACAAAGGAAAAAGAGAAGCAAAAACAACTAGCACTACTACTAAACTACTAAACACTAGATATTTACATACTTAATTACATGTTGAATTGGAAATTTTTAAGAACACTAATAAAGAAAGAAATCCGGACCGCTATGAAATGCGTCCGGTCTATCGGGTATACTCGGGTGAAGTGCGATTTACATAATTGAACGAATTGATTATGCTAATTAATTACGACAATCAGTAAATCGTACATTGTTTCATTCTCTCAAAATGGCGTAACTTTACTAAATAAAGAATAATCAGAGAAAAATAATATAGCAGGGATATTTAAACATATGAATTATGATCAATTATAAATTTTGAAATATTTAAAGCTGAACACTACTCGTAAATAGGCATAGTCCGCCATATTTCCCGTTGTTCAACGCTCTCCCTACAACCCGTATATAAGGAGCAGATCGCTAACCAGTTCAATGTATTTCACTATAGAGATCCGACGAGTGTAGACGTACACCCTACACTGCGTGCTAGTCAATCTCGATGAAATTATCAAATTTTACGTATTTTTTCCAAAACAGGACAAAAGTATCATGAAAAATACAGGTCAAAACATTATTTACAAACAAATAATGTACATAAAAACAAGAAATAAACGCAAAAAATCTAGGACCTCGAAAGGAGTAATACATGTCGGCCACGAGTTTCGAGTGTGCAATCGGGTGTAACGAAATCAAACGGTTTATATACCCGTCTGACAGTGCCTATTTATGAGAAGTGTTCAGCTTTAAGGACTTATTATCGGGAAAAAATAATTAACAAATGTGTAAGCAATAAATAGTTATATGGGTTGTTCGAGAGTTGGTGACGCAAATTAATTGTAGAATTTACACTAAATTGAGAGAATAATCTTGTTTGGAATCATCAGGAATTGGGTCTAGTTTACGTTCATTCTGGTGAAGTCATTCAGTTTGTTAATACCATTAAGGCGGAATGACTTCAATCTGTGCATCCAGAACTTTTCTTTGCTTTTTCTCTGAGCATCTGTCCATCTTGGGTTATGGTCAATCACAACTACTGTCATGTCCTCCCATTTGTGACCCTCAAGGTTGAAATGTTCCCCAACGGGTTCATTGAGTTTTTTGGTCCTAATGGTCGAACGGTGGTTATTGACTCTCCTGCGGAGATCTCCTGTTTCACCAATATACTGTTTGGAGCAAACTTTGCAACTGATGAGATAAATGCAGTTGTCAGTATGACAGGACAAATTCCCTAGTATTTTGTAGCTGCGGCCTGTAACAGGGCTGTTAAAACTGTCTGTGTCAGTGCTGTGCTTACAAAGAAGACATCTTCTCTCAGAGCAAGTTTTAAAGCCCCCGTTAGGTAATGGGTTGTCCAGTCTTGTTCTTACTACCATGTCATTTAGGTTCCTTTGGCGTCTGTATGCAGCCAATGGGGGTTCTTTAAAGACCTCTGCCATTCGTTTGAATGGAGAATTGGTAGGTTCTTTTGAAGGATACCGCTAAGGTTCTTAAGGACGGGATAGTATGTGGTTACCAGAGGGACCCTGTCGCTATTGTCTTTTTCATTGTAGCGTAATAGGTTTTGCCTGTCATGTTCAGCCATCTCATCAATAGCTGTTTGTACGGTGCGGGCATTGTAGCCTCTTTTGCATAAGTGGGACTTAAGAAGACCACTTTGCTCCTGATATAAGGCAGGGGACGAACAGATGCGTCGAATTCTGGTGGCTAGACCTTTAGGCACTCCCTTAAAAGTGTGTGGGGGATGACAACTAGTGGGCATAAGATATAGGTGGGAGTCTGTGGGTTTGGTGTGGAGACTGAATTCGATTTCACCATCAATCAGGGTAGATGTAGTATCTAGGAATACGTTTATCGAATTAGATATATCTACTGTAAATTTGATCGACTGATGAAAGGTGTTGGCAAACGTAATGAATGCTTCGAGGCTCTCGCGACATTCCACCCACTTCATCTCTATATCGTCAATGAAACGCAACCAGCCATGGGGCCTAAATGGTGCTTGAAGTAGCAAGTTGCGTTCCAGTCTGTGAAGACATTGGCATAGGACGGTGCCATTTTCGTACCAATAGCAGTGCCATTAACCTGCAGGTAATGTTCTCCATTAAACATAAAGTTGTTGAACTTGAGAAGATGTTCAAGGAGCTTAGCAAGGGACTCGGTAGAAGGAATATGTATGGATATACTATCCCAGACTTCTCTACAGGCTTCGATACCCTCATCGTGCGGAATATTGGTGTACAAAGATGTGACGTCCATAGTCACGAGGAGGGTATGATCTGGGAGGCCAGTAGAGGGCGTCTTGTTAATGTAGTCCGTGGTGTCCTTGAGATAGGATGGCAAATTCTCTACGTGTGGACGGAGATGTAAATCAATGAATTCAGAAATTTTTCTCCGTGGGGTTTCTAATTGCACTGACTATGGGGCGACCTGGCATGCCTTCTTTGTGTATTTTAGGAAGCAGATAGAATTGTCCTGGTCTACAGTCAATAGGATTTAAGGTCTCATAGACGTTGATACCAGTCTCATTTTTCTCAAACATATCGTCAAGAGTTTTGGTAATGGCTGTGGAGAATTCTTTAGTAGGGTCAGAGTCCAGTTTCTTATAGAAACGTTCGTCTGAGAGTTGTCTTTGGGCCTCCGCCATGTAAGTCTCTTTATCCAGTACTACAACTGTAGAGCCTTTGTCTGCTTTCTTGATTACAATGTCATCCCGAGTTTTTAATGATTGTAAGGCAGATCTCTCTTCCTTACTCAAATTGTCGGGAGTCTTGTCAGGCGCTGAAAGGAGCTTCTCTATGTCTGACTCAACGGCGTCAATATACGACTCAAGCGCGCCGCACTTGCCCGGTGCGGGTTCCCAGTCACTCTTGGGCTTATAGAGTTTGTGTTCTTCTAGATCGTCTAAATCTGGCTTGGAAGAGTCGTATGAATTTACTTCGGAGTCTTTTCTAGAGAAGTGCTCCTTCAAACGAAGTCTCCGGAAGAATGCTCGGGTGTCCTCTCTAACTTGTTTTTCGTCGACCTCATGTGGCGTGGGGCAGAAATTTAGCCCCTTGGAAAGAAGTGAGGTCTCCGATTCGGAGAGAGGAGCACTAGATGTATTGAGCACTGGGCAGACGTCAGGAGTTTGTATGGGTCCGTCCCTCGCGATTGTCTTAATGCGTTTGAAGCGTCTCGAGCGGGGTTTGCGTGTTTCGTTAACTCTGACCTCTGCCAGTTGTTCCTAGCGGAGAAATTTCTTTTTTTGAGTCTTATTGACTTTATTTGTTAGGGCCATATTATAGGTGTCTATAATATTATGGGCTTCATCAAGATCGGCCTGGGACATGATATCGTTGAGGGATGATTCTAAGGACTTGATCTCACTCCTCAATTGTCCTAACTTGTGGATATCCCAAGAAAGACAGAGTGACATCAATTGCTTAGAACATCTACTTGTAATAACGTCCCAGCGTTCCTGAAAGCGTTTGGAGATTGGCCCTATGTTAGGTGTAACATTTATCTGAAAGCCTTTCGGTATAATGTCACACTCTAAGTAGGTCTGTAAATTGGAGACCCGGTGTTCAGTTTTAATTGATTTTTGGTGTTCTTTCTTTAGAAGTTTAAATGTTGGGTTATCTTTAAAAGACACATTTGAAAGGAAATTACAATTGCCAAAATGATAAGACTACTGATAAGACTAAGTTTTTAGTCGTATGAAGTCGAAAGATTCAACGAACGATTGTTCTGTATTCTAACGGATTTCGTAGATAACTCGTGCACGAATTCAAAAATATTAAAAACAAACGGTACGTGAGTATAAAAAAATTTTTTTGTGGAATATATTGTGTTATGTATATGTATATATATACATATACACATATATTGTATTATATATATATATATATATATATATATATATATATATATATATATATATATATATATATATATATATATATATATATATATATAAACACCGAATAAACATAAGCGAGAGGAATATTGGGGTCATACCTGGAACAGTTCATCAGTATCTTCTACTCCGAAGAGGCTGGGTACCCGAATGAAGCAGGAACCATATGAGCAGTACTGGTCGTAACTTTTCAATTCTTCAAGCACCTACAATACCGTAAAAAGTTCTAAATAAGACAATCCTTTATATTACTATAAAAAATATTTTTATAACACTCTTTATGTAAACCATAATGCTAAATAGCGAGCGCAGCGAAACGACGCTTGCGAAACGAGCTCAATAGACTAACGTGTAAGAACAGAGAAAATTCGGAATAAAATCTGTACATATGTCAGGCAAATTTCTCTGTGAAGCATTCCCAGAATTCCTTTACTACCCGATGTACTTTGCTCTAATAAATAAATAAAAACGTAATGCATAAAAGGTTTTCAGTTTGTATCTAAACCTTTAAAGAAGGATATGGAGATAACGAACAGTATTCAATCTCAAAGTCCCTAAAACAATGCAAAATAAGAGCAGATCAAGCACAGACCTCCGAAACATCAGAGGAGAGATTCAGGTGCCATGGAGGAGTAAGCATCCCCCTGCTGACCGGTCACACCCGCCGTGTGCTCCTTGTCATGATCAGGAAATAACAGGAAAATCCGCCGTCAATTCAGTGTTTAAACAATAGATTAACAATTAGTGTGAAAAACGTCAGTCAGCATTTAACTCAATGATAAGTTGTATTTGCTGTCAAGGTCATTGTATCGACCATGGAACTTACGAAATGATGCCTTTAAACGAGACGGCTGATATTCCTGTTTCATCGACTTGCTTGTCAATAATTTACCTCGTTTTAGAAATTGTTTATACGTAGAGCAAGCTCTTGTATATCGAATCAACTGAGATACATATATATACTCTGTATGCAGATGATAAAGGTATATTGCTGCATAAGTAAGGGGAGTTGACGATAGAAAAAGTAAAAGTCATCACGTTTATCATACAGCTTTGTTGTTAGATTACCATTAACATCTTTTTCAAGTAAAATATCCAGGTATGAGACAGACTCTGTGGTTTCTTTTATCTCAAGCTCACCAGGATATATCGTATCGACGTAGGAATGGAAATTACTTGTTGGTACCCAAGGGAATTCCAACGGATTGTTGGAATACCTGGTCTCCAAAAACCACATAGATATTGTCAATCAGAAACTCAAGCATCTGTTTGATGTCAACTTCAGAGTACTTGTGTGTGCAATCAGAATGTGTTTTAACAAAATAATTTTGCAAATAACCAATGACCAGGTAAGTAAATTTACCAGTTCCATTTTTATTAAAAAAACAGCTGTCATTGATATCAAAAAGCCTGGACTTTAATTTATCGTTGGGAATGGTTGTACATAAAGTTGAAAAGTCGTGTTTTTAAGCTGTTGATTGCGGTAAAATCTTGTGATTTCAAATCGTCCAAAAGTTCTTTGGAATTTTTGAGTATCCACATCTGATTCACACCACTTCTTGAATATATTGTTGGACAGTACTCCTGGAGTTTTTCCTTCACTACTTTCAAAATCTTAGTGAGAATTAACGAAAGAGGCTTGGTTGAACATTTACTGGAACCTGCAATGTATCTTTGTTTGTAAGGATTTTTAGGAAGTTTCGGAATCCAATATATATAGGGTAGTTCAAATTCCTTTTGGATCAGTGGAATATTAAAAATATTTAAAACAGGCATTTGATTTTGAAGAATTTCTTCCTTAGAAAGGGAAGTATGAGTATAATAAAAAACAAAAAATAACTCAATGTTTTTCGACCAAAATTGCACTAGGTCTATAGTTACAACCAAACGCTCGGCTGTCTCCGTAAGCTCTGACGAGCTCTGTGACGTCGTGTGACATCACAGCTAGTCGAGATGTCTCGCGCGGCTTCATGTATGAAGTGACTTGATCAATTTTTATGTGTTTTTGATGGTACTAATGCGCTCGCCCCAAACCGTTAAACATATTAATTAATATTGACTTTGCCAAGGTAATATCCGTTTTTCAGAAAAACAAAAATATGATAATTTTTAAAATGTTTTTGTGCGAGAGAATTCAACTTATTTATCTTTCAAAATATATTTTTTTATGGTTTTCTCTGTAGATTACCGTGCTTTCTTTGATGTCGTTGTCATTACGTAAAATCAGTACACTCTTATCTACCGCCAACAAATGAACCGTGGAATCCGGATCCGCTTTGATGGACACCACCACTTCATTTCCGGGGAGTGTCTCCTGAACGTCAAAGTCTATTTCTATCTGTAAAACAATATATAGATCTAGAAAAATTATTTGATAAAGTTTATGGCTAGAAAATGGAAATCATTTTGATTCTAGATTATTTAAATGCTAATGAATTAAGGTAGTACAAAACACCCGTGGAATATGTTTTAACTAATTTCACGTACACCAGGAAAAAAAATTATATCACTGTAATGTCATGAATCAATGATATTTAGGACAAAAGTTATAACCTCTGTCGCATTTTTGGCCATATTTTACCAAAAATTAGAGAATCTATGTATTATTCATTCGAGAGCCTACATTTTTTTTAATCTGTTCTTGCCATCTTTAAGCGATATGACATTCTGTTATTATATACAAAGTATCTTTGTATCAATTTATAGTTGAGAAGTGATTATGGACATATTTATGACTTCATCCTTTCTACACAATAAAGGTCAAGGTCATATTTAGTAGTCAAAGTTATAGTATTGTGTCGCCATCTACTGATTCTTTTAATTTTAGCAAAGAATAGGTTAAACCTAGATATTTTTTTTAATGAAATGTAGTTAACACGACTCTCTTTTCATTTAATAGATCCTGGGGATGAATGAAATAAGTCTTACTTGGTTGTTACTGGAGGATATTTTTTAAATTAACAAATACATTAACATCTGTAATAATCTTTGTTGTAATATTTGAATTTATAGTATGATATCATCATAATTGTTTTAAATGGGTAGGGGTGTTTTCAAACATTTTTGACACCTGGGTATTTCACTGTGTATTAAATCACTTCCTATGTATAGGGACTAGGAGACAGGTGATAACAGGTAGACTGCTAGCCCCCAAGGCATTCACACCTGTACAGAATAAGCCCCTCCCTCAAATGGAATTTACCATCCGGTAAAAAATCTCTGCCTTTAAAGGTATTTGGGCAAGAATTGTGCAGGTAAATTTCTTTCATATTAAATACAAAGAAAGATTTTGTATCATAATTTTTTTTTTCAAAATATTTGACCTATCTGTTTTGTACTGTTCCTTAATGCAGCTGTAAATTATATTTTTCTTTTTAAAAATGACAATAAATACACAATGACGTACGTTGTTTTCAAAGCTTCCGTCAATATTAAAGCTGATAGCATCTGCTACAATTTCGCCGTCCTTCCTGACGTAATGGGTGATAAGGCGTGCCCTAGGTGTCATTTCTTTTATTATCGTCAAGTTAAATCTCTTCAGTTTTGAAGATTGCATATCAAGGCCCCCTGATTCAATAATCCCGCCTTTTGAAATAATCTGTATCGTATGAAAATATTGATTTTAAATAGTTCATTGGGATTATTAAAGGGTTTCATTACCGAGAAAATCCCGTTTGAGGACAGGTTTCTTTATAAAATTAAAATAATAAACAATTAAAAAAATCAGTTTCATCTAATATAAAGAGCATCACTTATCGTGATTTAGCTTTGCAAAACTACATATATCTGCAAATTATCTAAGTAAATTCTTACTTGATAGTATATGTTGGAAGTAATTTCAGTGGTCCTGATTTCAAATGCTAAGATCGATCCTACCTGACAATGAAAAATACAATACAGAGAGAGAGAGAGAGAGAGAGAGAGAGAGAGAGAGAGAGAGAGAGAGAGAGAGAGAGAGAGAGAGAAATGTTGCTGTGAATAGCAAAAAATTCAGCATAGCTCGAAATGTTACACCTCGATGTTTTTTTTATCATTAATGTTTTATTTTAGATGATTCGAATCCACCTGGCACCACATTTCCATTTTCTAAAATTTCAATGTTTATTTACTCCTGTATAATTTCCAATCAGAGAGGGATATTTTTATGACAGCACGTCCTGCGACAAGGAACTTCAGTTTATAGGCTTCTACGGTCTCATCAAGAGGACTGATCTCCACGTCCTAATGTGGTATTGTAGTATTTGTTGAAATATAATGTAATGAGACATTATATAGAAAGATATGGAGATAACGAACAATATTTAATCTCAAAGGCCATAAAACAATACGAAATAAGAGCAGAACAAAACACGGACCCCCAAAACATCAGAGGTGGGATCAGGTGCTATGGAGGAATGAGCATCCCCTGATGACCGTTCACAACCGCCGTGTACTCCTTGTCATGATCGGGAAATAATGGGAAAATCCGTCGTCAATTCAGTGTATAAATAATGGACTAAGAATAGTATGAAAAATTGTATCGACCATAGAACTTACGAAATGATGACTTTAAACGAGACTGTTGATATTCTTGTTTTAGAATTAAAGTAAAAAAACTCAAATGATACATCATATTAATCTATGAAAAGATTACACATATCTCCAGACGTTAATTGACTAGACTTAAAGTGATATATGAGTAATGAATTAATACATGCATGTAGCTTTTATGTCATCGAGAAGTTCGTACGTCTTTAAGCTTTTTGAAAAGACAAAAATCAACCCCAATTGAATTTTGATTTGATGTAAATAATTACAAATCCAAAGCGAGGACGTAAGAATAAAAACCTTTGGTTTCCTGTCTGTGTGAAGAAGTCTGACTTGCATGAAGGAGTTACTTGGTGATTTACTGGGCTGGAGATAAAGGGAAGAGGACAAACCATTGTACTCTGCCTGAAATAGTAATGAATGGGTAAGATTCAACAGAACATACAGCAAGGATTAGGTTCTTTAATTGGAAGTTCTACTTATAAAGAAAACGACAGAAGTCTCCATGACAACTTACATTTATGTAAATATATTCAGTTCCTTCAGGAATTGTTATTTCATGTTTGAAAAATCCATTGGCGTCAAGGTCGAGAAAGACTGGATTCATCGTTCTATCTTTAGTATCGATCATAAGAGAATTTTGTAGCTCATCATTCATAAGGCTCTCCAATTCCAATTCTATTTCCTGCTGTTCTGCTGTGTCCATATTAATTATCGTTATATTTTCATTTGGTAGGCCTGATTCTGAAGTCTTGGTAGTGTTGGACCTCACGGAGGAGAGAGGGATTGTGTGGGTCACAGTCAGCTTTACCCTCGAGGTAGTTGGAAGATAAACTGTTTCGTCATCTTGACGAGTCAATTTACCCTGTATTAGATATAAAATTTAATAAAAGATACACGAGGAACTAATTTAGTGAATCAATATAAGGTAAAAGTTATTATTATTTATTTATTTATTTATTTATTTATTTTTTTTTTTTTTAGAAAAATGACTTTTCATGGCATCTTTTATACAATACAATAACCCTTTATATAACATTCCCGTCTCTCACCAATACTGTGAAGTTAAGTCCAGGTTTAAATTTTGATGGAAGTGACTCGAGGAACTGTAATTTGTTTTCAGTTGGATAGAACTTAACAGAACCAGACGCACTTTGACGTAAACCAGTTATCGATTCAGTCACATTTACGTCAAACAAAAGGCTACTGTAATCTAATTCTCTAAGGCCTTCATCCTCTACGAGGCTCTTAAGTTTTGTATTCTCAACATCAAACTTATACTGGCCATCTATCTTTAAAAAACAAAAACATTTTAAATTTATTAATGTATCTAACAATAAAGCTTCTTTTAACTGTTGCATACAAGTATATTACTTCTTAATATTTGAGAACTCATATTTGATATGGATATTATAGAGGAAAGCTATGAATGAAGAAATATGTTTGATTTATTTGCCTTTATTATAATTTCAAAAAATACTGATGGATTACACAAAACATTATTTTACAAAAGATTTCTTTTTTACTGTAACTATATAATAGGATTTCTACATACTAGTAAGTATTTACTTCTTTCATTGACGAATTTTATTCATGAGGAGATTTTGCAAGCCCCTGATGTCACACGAGGGTGGAGTCACTTCAATTATTTAATTCTAAAGACGTTTTTTTCAGTGCTGAAATAATGACAATAAAGTAGGGATAAAACAACTTACTGGGGCACGATGAAAAATCTCATCAATTTGCCCTTGGCATCGCCTGAGCTGCTGATACACTGAAGGAAAATGGTTATATGGCGTACGGATTCTAATGTCAACCATTCCTTTTACTGGTTTACCAAATGTATATCTAAATATAAATGCTAGTATATAATTGTTATTTATATTGTTTAGATAAAGCAGATATGCCATGGATGCAACAAAGGAAGTAAGCATTAATTTTTAAAAATGGTGTTATTTATGGATTTTATTTACTGATGAATAAGTTTGTTCAATATGACCTTTTAGAATAGTTTTCTTTTTTATTTGATTGTATTTTTGAAGATAAACCTACATACGTGGAAATAACTTTTAAACTTGTTAAACTTCTATTGCTGACTCCGTATGGCGGAAGTTCCAACGTCACATTAAACTTTGGCAATACTAAAATATCAGCGGTCAAAATAATTTCATGATGTTATTTACAGTTGATTAAAAATATAATCAATACGTATAATATAACAATATTTATGTCACACGTGTTTTATTTCAAAGCAAGTTTTTTGATGTGACTTGATAAACAGTGTTTTGCTTTTTTTTCAACATTTCATATGAAGGGATTCAGAAATGAAAGGAAGAAAAGGGAGGTCTATAACAATTGTGGTTTAGATTTTACATTAAAATTTAAATGCATACACAGTATCATAAACAAGACATCCAATTCACATCATTATAAAGAAATAACTAAATCTGGAATATGTTCCTCATGATTTCAAATTCATATTATCATTCCGCAAAAAAACATCGATATCGGAGTTGAAAAGTAAAAATTAGGAAACAAGTAAGTAAGCTGTAACGGAATGAAATATAAAAAAAGTGATCGAAAATGAAGTAGGAGAAATAAATCTTGTTACAGTTATTCTCTATGCATTATTTCAATTTCAAAACGATAAAAGCAATAAAAAATTTCAAATTTCCTGAAAAAAAGTTTTTAATATTTAGTTTCATGAAATGTACATCTACTTTACCGTATTCATCCACAGTCACTGTCTTAGAGTGAGGTTCAGTCTGAAATCGATACATTTCTATCATAAAAAAATGGGACAGTAGCTGAGTCAATAGGACAACAAGTTTAAACAATTAAAATTACACCAAGTGTATAATATCTAATAAATTGTTAAAAAAGGTCTGTTGAAAAGCTGAACTATGTATATAATCTCAAATAAACTGTTATAAAAGTTCTCTTAAAAAGCTGAACTACATGTATATATATAATATGTAATAAACTGTTAAAAAAGTTCTATTGAAAAGCTGGTTAAACTAAAGTTATATCTGGAGACAAAGATACAGTATTTTTATTAAAACAAGCTAATTCAGAGAATTTGTGTCCCCCGCTTAGGGAAAAAGAAACCATGCGCAGTTCGGGGGGGGGGGGGGGGTCGGATCCCCCTGACTGAATTTGTAGAATTATTAAATGTATACATGTATATTGAAGCAAATAAAATATGCCAATATGGAGATAAAGGTTTGATTGCTTATTCTTTACTATGTGTATAGAAGATTCTTTTTATAGGGAATATTTATCACACTGTAATGATGAATTTATGAGTTTGTACAAGCCAAACCTCATAAATTTTTTCATTTCACATGAATAGTATCATTTAGTAAAAAAAAAAAAGTATTTCGAAAAAAAAACTTAGATCGCCCGGGATGCGAACTCGGACCCTCTCACATGTGAAGCGAGAGACATCCCTCTAGACCACGGAGCCGCTCTAAACTTGCGAAAATTATATGCAAACATGAAGTCACATACATGTATATATTCACGTTCGATATTATCAAAATTTTACACAATGCATGATATCTAATTTAACATTTATTAAACAGTTCTAATAGATATAATAAGAATATGAAGTCCACCGAGAACCTGTTTTATACGTAATAACTCTCCTCATGCCCCTGTGCTAAAAATAGCGACATATAATACAATAAATACTAATAAAACAAACGGTGGGACACTTTGAGAGGGGTGAGAGAGGTCCTAGGGAGTTTTGGTATAAAATTACATTGCAAAAGCTCAAAATCTTCTTGAAATATTGCCCGAAAATGATAGTGTTTCATACAGACAGAATGTATATATTTACGACCTTGAACTTTGACCTTTTGCCCTCAAAATCAATAGGGGTCTTCCTTCGGCCACAGGGAGTTGTTATGTAAAATTTCATTGCAAAAGCTCAAAGAGTTCTTGAGATATCGCGCCGAAATGAAAGTTTTTTTAAAAGACAGAATCTGCGAATTTATTACCTTGACCTTTGACCTTTTGACCCCAAAATCAATAGGGTTCTTCTTTAGTCCATAGGGAGTTGCTATGCCAGATTTCATTGGAAAAGCTCAAAGGGTTCTCAAGATATCGTGTGGAAACGAAAGCGTTACAGACAGACAGAAATACGGACGGACGGACAGACCCAAATTAATATCCCCCACTTTTCAAGCGGGGGACAAAAATACCTATGCTTTGATGAAAGAAAGATTATATCTGGTATGGACCAATTACGAGACAGGATTAGAAACAAAAGAAATAACAAGCAAATAAGAGCCTCTCTTACCCCTTGTAGAGCCTTTATCTTCCACTCCCCGAGTACAGGATGGTCCGACATGACTAAACTGTCTGTAAACACTCCATTATCAGGTGGCAGAGGATAGTTTCGAATAAAGTACCGGTCAAAAAATAGAAAAAATAGAGAAACCTGAGGTTTGAATGCATATTATAGGTAATTTTATAGCTAGAATATTTTATGGGTGCATTTGGAGGGAATTGGTGGCCTTGTGTATTTTATTGAAATATGACACTTTAGTGTCACTACTACTGTATATGGGATATGGACTAGAAATACGAAACTAAGCTCAAAACTCGCTCTACCGGTATTTCACCAGAAAAGCGGGGTGGGTTAACAGGATGAATTGTAGCTTGAAAACGAGGTGGTTGAGCCCATATCTCTTGCTGTTCATTGGTATGTACAAATGTTATTCTGCAATTTGTGTGGTAGCTTAGGTCAGGCGCACGGGCCTGGAAGCAGATGCGGCTGCGGCGAAATAGTGAAAATAGGCTTGATTCACATAAAATTTTGAGATTGTCCCTGCGCCATCTTTAGGGCTCATTGTGTAAGTTGTACATGTTTTATTCCTAAAAGCTTCAAATTTCTCAAGGGACTACATCATACTATTATTACATGTAGAGGGAATTTAAAATTTTTCAATGCACATTTTAAAAGCAGCTCAATATTAAGTAAACCGTCAGTCAAACGTTTTGATTGCAAAAAAAACTATCCTCTGCCACCTTCAAGAATGCATCAATTTTTAGAAATGTGAATTTTAGTCTGATTTTTATACAAAAGGGTTTATTCATGTATGTCAATTTAAAAAAATACTTTGTTTCTGTTATTTAAAATCTGTACAGCTGGGTATATTCACTAAAAAGCAAGGGGGGTTACTCTTTTCCAGCATACATTTTTAAAGACTTTGAACCATCAGCATAATAAATCATATAAGATTTAGGCATTTTTTGCCAGAGAATAAATTAATTGTTTGAATTTGATACTTTGGGTATTGTCGCATAATTAAAATCATGTCTTGCTTTAATTAATTAAATGTAATTAGAATTTAAGTGTATTAATTAGTGCGATATCACTGAAATTACATAAATTTGCCATTTTTTCCACCTAAATTACTAAATATAAATATTTTGAAAATAAAAATCAGTCAGCATACCTAAATGTCACTAAACCTAACCACATATAGTACAAAAAAACTTAGTTTGCTTCATTTTTCCAAATTTAACCTATTCTGTTATTTATGATTTCATGAAATATGCCCCCCCCCCTTTTTAATTTTTAATTTATCTATATTTAAATGTGACAGAATCTAAATTTTTCAGTGGTTTGCTATAAAAGGACTATTTTTCTTTGAATAATAACAAAACAAGGAGTTTATATTGCATATTTAATGAAGTAATATCAATAAAATGTGCATTTTCATGTAATTATTGAATTCTGCTAGGCCCATATAATCTGCCCACAATTGCCCAGGATGGACAGAATAATCACTTTTAGTTTTCAGGAGAATGAAATGTATGTATTTGATTACTCATAACTGTTAAAAGTGAATATCAGACACTTAGAAAAAATTCAGCTAGGAGAAACAGATTTTTACAGTGCATTTACATTACACTGAAGAAATGGCTGCAGGGGTAGGGTGTTGAACTGCCATTTCCTGGACACTTTTTCTTTAGCATGTGATGCAAGAGGGGTTTTCATATATCATGATAAATATCTTGAAAGTTGAAAGGGGTTTTAACTTTGCAAAAGAGTTATAGGTATATAAAACCAAGTGAAAAAGAGATAAAATGGAATTTCACAGAACATGAAAAATAGGGGAGTATGTGATACATGTGAGTACATTTCACCAAGATGTGCACTTTATATTTGACTTTTTACATATAACTGTATTTGAAATAGATTAAAATTACCATTTAACACTTTTTTGATGGTGTATTGATCATTTGGAGTTGTAAGAATTGCTTTTGTTTTATGTGGAACAAACAATATGGGGTTAAGGTGGTTGACCGAGAATTGGTGAGGTCTCTTATTTGGCCATAACTTTTTTATTTTTCAATGAATCAAAACATATTTGGTATATTTTTACTCAGAATTGCATGTTCTTTCTGAATTGAGCAAGGTTTGTTAATTGCAAGACAAACTTTGAAAGTTAAAGGTGGCAGAGGATAGTTTCGAATAAAGTACCGGTCAAAAAATAGAAAAAATAGAGAAACCTGAGGTTTGAATGCATATTATAGGTAATTTTATAGCTAGAATATTTTATGGGTGCATTTGGAGGGAATTGGTGGCCTTGTGTATTTTATTGAAATATGACACTTTAGTGTCACTACTACTGTATATGGGATATGGACTAGAAATACGAAACTAAGCTCAAAACTCGCTCTACCGGTATTTCACCAGAAAAGCGGGGTGGGTTAACAGGATGAATTGTAGCTTGAAAACGAGGTGGTTGAGCCCATATCTCTTGCTGTTCATTGGTATGTACAAATGTTATTCTGCAATTTGTGTGGTAGCTTAGGTCAGGCGCACGGGCCTGGAAGCAGATGCGGCTGCGGCGAAATAGTGAAAATAGGCTTGATTCACATAAAATTTTGAGATTGTCCCTGCGCCATCTTTAGGGCTCATTGTGTAAGTTGTACATGTTTTATTCCTAAAAGCTTCAAATTTCTCAAGGGACTACATCATACTATTATTACATGTAGAGGGAATTTAAAATTTTTCAATGCACATTTTAAAAGCAGCTCAATATTAAGTAAACCGTCAGTCAAACGTTTTGATTGCAAAAAAAACTATCCTCTGCCACCTTCAAGAATGCATCAATTTTTAGAAATGTGAATTTTAGTCTGATTTTTATACAAAAGGGTTTATTCATGTATGTCAATTTAAAAAAATACTTTGTTTCTGTTATTTAAAATCTGTACAGCTGGGTATATTCACTAAAAAGCAAGGGGGGTTACTCTTTTCCAGCATACATTTTTAAAGACTTTGAACCATCAGCATAATAAATCATATAAGATTTAGGCATTTTTTGCCAGAGAATAAATTAATTGTTTGAATTTGATACTTTGGGTATTGTCGCATAATTAAAATCATGTCTTGCTTTAATTAATTAAATGTAATTAGAATTTAAGTGTATTAATTAGTGCGATATCACTGAAATTACATAAATTTGCCATTTTTTCCACCTAAATTACTAAATATAAATATTTTGAAAATAAAAATCAGTCAGCATACCTAAATGTCACTAAACCTAACCACATATAGTACAAAAAAACTTAGTTTGCTTCATTTTTCCAAATTTAACCTATTCTGTTATTTATGATTTCATGAAATATGCCCCCCCCCTTTTTAATTTTTAATTTATCTATATTTAAATGTGACAGAATCTAAATTTTTCAATGGTTTGCTATAAAAGGACTATTTTTCTTTGAATAATAACAAAACAAGGAGTTTATATTGCATATTTAATGAAGTAATATCAATAAAATGTGCATTTTCATGTAATTATTGAATTCTGCTAGGCCCATATAATCTGCCCACAATTGCCCAGGATGGACAGAATAATCACTTTTAGTTTTCAGGAGAATGAAATGTATGTATTTGATTACTCATAACTGTTAAAAGTGAATATCAGACACTTAGAAAAAATTCAGCTAGGAGAAACAGATTTTTACAGTGCATTTACATTACACTGAAGAAATGGCTGCAGGGGTAGGGTGTTGAACTGCCATTTCCTGGACACTTTTTCTTTAGCATGTGATGCAAGAGGGGTTTTCATATATCATGATAAATATCTTGAAAGTTGAAAGGGGTTTTAACTTTGCAAAAGAGTTATAGGTATATAAAACCAAGTGAAAAAGAGATAAAATGGAATTTCACAGAACATGAAAAATAGGGGAGTATGTGATACATGTGAGTACATTTCACCAAGATGTGCACTTTATATTTGACTTTTTACATATAACTGTATTTGAAATAGATTAAAATTACCATTTAACACTTTTTTGATGGTGTATTGATCATTTGGAGTTGTAAGAATTGCTTTTGTTTTATGTGGAACAAACAATATGGGGTTAAGGTGGTTGACCGAGAATTGGTGAGGTCTCTTATTTGGCCATAACTTTTTTATTTTTCAATGAATCAAAACATATTTGGTATATTTTTACTCAGAATTGCATGTTCTTTCTGAATTGAGCAAGGTTTGTTAATTGCAAGACAAACTTTGAAAGTTAAAGGTGGCAGAGGATAGTTTCGAATAAAGTACCGGTCAAAAAATAGAAAAAATAGAGAAACCTGAGGTTTGAATGCATATTATAGGTAATTTTATAGCTAGAATATTTTATGGGTGCATTTGGAGGGAATTGGTGGCCTTGTGTATTTTATTGAAATATGACACTTTAGTGTCACTACTACTGTATATGGGATATGGACTAGAAATACGAAACTAAGCTCAAAACTCGCTCTACCGGTATTTCACCAGAAAAGCGGGGTGGGTTAACAGGATGAATTGTAGCTTGAAAACGAGGTGGTTGAGCCCATATCTCTTGCTGTTCATTGGTATGTACAAATGTTATTCTGCAATTTGTGTGGTAGCTTAGGTCAGGCGCACGGGCCTGGAAGCAGATGCGGCTGCGGCGAAATAGTGAAAATAGGCTTGATTCACATAAAATTTTGAGATTGTCCCTGCGCCATCTTTAGGGCTCATTGTGTAAGTTGTACATGTTTTATTCCTAAAAGCTTCAAATTTCTCAAGGGACTACATCATACTATTATTACATGTAGAGGGAATTTAAAATTTTTCAATGCACATTTTAAAAGCAGCTCAATATTAAGTAAACCGTCAGTCAAACGTTTTGATTGCAAAAAAAACTATCCTCTGCCACCTTCAAGAATGCATCAATTTTTAGAAATGTGAATTTTAGTCTGATTTTTATACAAAAGGGTTTATTCATGTATGTCAATTTAAAAAAATACTTTGTTTCTGTTATTTAAAATCTGTACAGCTGGGTATATTCACTAAAAAGCAAGGGGGGTTACTCTTTTCCAGCATACATTTTTAAAGACTTTGAACCATCAGCATAATAAATCATATAAGATTTAGGCATTTTTTGCCAGAGAATAAATTAATTGTTTGAATTTGATACTTTGGGTATTGTCGCATAATTAAAATCATGTCTTGCTTTAATTAATTAAATGTAATTAGAATTTAAGTGTATTAATTAGTGCGATATCACTGAAATTACATAAATTTGCCATTTTTTCCACCTAAATTACTAAATATAAATATTTTGAAAATAAAAATCAGTCAGCATACCTAAATGTCACTAAACCTAACCACATATAGTACAAAAAAAACTTAGTTTGCTTCATTTTTCCAAATTTAACCTATTCTGTTATTTATGATTTCATGAAATATGCCCCCCCCCCTTTTTAATTTTTAATTTATCTATATTTAAATGTGACAGAATCTAAATTTTTCAATGGTTTGCTATAAAAGGACTATTTTTCTTTGAATAATAACAAAACAAGGAGTTTATATTGCATATTTAATGAAGTAATATCAATAAAATGTGCATTTTCATGTAATTATTGAATTCTGCTAGGCCCATATAATCTGCCCACAATTGCCCAGGATGGACAGAATAATCACTTTTAGTTTTCAGGAGAATGAAATGTATGTATTTGATTACTCATAACTGTTAAAAGTGAATATCAGACACTTAGAAAAAATTCAGCTAGGAGAAACAGATTTTTACAGTGCATTTACATTACACTGAAGAAATGGCTGCAGGGGTAGGGTGTTGAACTGCCATTTCCTGGACACTTTTTCTTTAGCATGTGATGCAAGAGGGGTTTTCATATATCATGATAAATATCTTGAAAGTTGAAAGGGGTTTTAACTTTGCAAAAGAGTTATAGGTATATAAAACCAAGTGAAAAAGAGATAAAATGGAATTTCACAGAACATGAAAAATAGGGGAGTATGTGATACATGTGAGTACATTTCACCAAGATGTGCACTTTATATTTGACTTTTTACATATAACTGTATTTGAAATAGATTAAAATTACCATTTAACACTTTTTTGATGGTGTATTGATCATTTGGAGTTGTAAGAATTGCTTTTGTTTTATGTGGAACAAACAATATGGGGTTAAGGTGGTTGACCGAGAATTGGTGAGGTCTCTTATTTGGCCATAACTTTTTTATTTTTCAATGAATCAAAACATATTTGGTATATTTTTACTCAGAATTGCATGTTCTTTCTGAATTGAGCAAGGTTTGTTAATTGCAAGACAAACTTTGAAAGTTAAAGGTGGCAGAGGATAGTTTCGAATAAAGTACCGGTCAAAAAATAGAAAAAATAGAGAAACCTGAGGTTTGAATGCATATTATAGGTAATTTTATAGCTAGAATATTTTATGGGTGCATTTGGAGGGAATTGGTGGCCTTGTGTATTTTATTGAAATATGACACTTTAGTGTCACTACTACTGTATATGGGATATGGACTAGAAATACGAAACTAAGCTCAAAACTCGCTCTACCGGTATTTCACCAGAAAAGCGGGGTGGGTTAACAGGATGAATTGTAGCTTGAAAACGAGGTGGTTGAGCCCATATCTCTTGCTGTTCATTGGTATGTACAAATGTTATTCTGCAATTTGTGTGGTAGCTTAGGTCAGGCGCACGGGCCTGGAAGCAGATGCGGCTGCGGCGAAATAGTGAAAATAGGCTTGATTCACATAAAATTTTGAGATTGTCCCTGCGCCATCTTTAGGGCTCATTGTGTAAGTTGTACATGTTTTATTCCTAAAAGCTTCAAATTTCTCAAGGGACTACATCATACTATTATTACATGTAGAGGGAATTTAAAATTTTTCAATGCACATTTTAAAAGCAGCTCAATATTAAGTAAACCGTCAGTCAAACGTTTTGATTGCAAAAAAAACTATCCTCTGCCACCTCAGGAACCTTATTCTTCCACTGAGCGATTTTATTTCCAAGAGGGTCCTTATAAAATTAGAAAAAAAACAATTAAAAGCTTGTGGTTGTAAGACAATATGAATAGAATATCTTAAACTACTAACCCTATTCAGATATATTGAGGTACTTACGAAAATTGCTACATCTATATTTTTATTCACAATGGAAATATTTGGGTAAAATCCAAAAACACGAAAATGAACTGAAAAAAGAAAAAAAAAAAGAAATAAAAATACAACTCTGAATTGAAATTAGAAAAGCTAATGTGTAACGAAATAATGTTAATTAAAACTACTAGTCCCATGGTCAAAAAATACATTTTAAGGAAATAATTTCAGTAAAAGTAAAAATATAAGAAGTAAAGTGTAAAGGAATTTTGATATAAAGCTTGCTGATTTGTCCGCGTTTGTAGATTAAACTGACTTGTATAGATAAAGCTTACTATCGCAGATATAGCAAACTTGTATAATGAAAGCTTACTACAATAGATGAAGCTTACTGGTATAAATGATACTTTCCTGTATAAGTAACGCTTACTCGTAGAGATAAATCAAATTTGTAAAGGTAAAGCTTACTCGTATTGTTAAAGCTTACTGGTTTAGTTAAAGCTTGTCTGTATAGATAAAGCTTATTCGTATAGATAACGATATTTCGTATAGATAAGGCTTATTCGTATATATAATAAATACTTGTAGAGATGAAATATAATGGAGATAACGAACATGATAAAACATCAGAGGTGGGATCAGGTGTCATAGAGGAGTGAACATCCCCTGCTGACCGGTCATACCCATCGTGAGACTGCTATAAAGCTTACTTATATAGATAAAGCATAACTGTATAGATAAAGTTGTATACATTAAACTTACTTGGATAGATAAACCATACTTATATTGATAAAGCTTACTAGTATAGATAACGCTTACTAGTACAGGTAACACTTACTCGTATAGATAAAGCTTACTTGTATAGATAAAGTTTACTCATTTAGAGAAAGCTTACTCGTATAGATAAAGATTGCTAGTATAGTAAAAGCATTTACGCATAGATAAAACTAAGTAATGTAGACAATGATCACTCGTAAAGATAAGACTTGTTCGTATAATTAATGCATACTTACTTGTACATGTAGGAATAAAACTTACTCATATAGATAAAGCATAATTGTATAGATAAAGTTGTATAGATAAAGCTTTCTCGGATAGACAAAACTATCTTTTATGGATAAAACATACTTATTATTTTGATAAAACACATTCTGATTGCACACACAAGTACTCTGAAGTTGTCATCAAAAAGATGATTGAGGTTCTGATTGACAATGTCTACGTGGTTTTTGGAGACCAGGTATTCCAACAATATATTGGAATTCCCATGGGTACAAATTGCACTCCGTAATTAGCAGACCTAATTTATATTTTTATATTCATAAGCAGAATTTGTGCAAAATCTAATGCGTGAAAAGAAGAAAACACTTGCTGTGGCCTTCAACTCGACATATAGATATATCGACGACGTATTGTCAATTAACAATCTTCAATTCCATTAATATTCCTACGTCGATACGATATATCCTGGGGAGTTTGAGAAAAAAGATACCACAGAGTCTGACACATCTGTTTCATACTTGGATGTTTTACTTGAAAAAGATTAATGGTAAACTAACAACCAAGCTATATAATAAACGTGATGACTTTAACTTTTCTATCGTCAACTTCCCTTACTTATCCAGCAACATATCTTCATCACCTGCATACGGAGTCTATATATCTCAGATGATTCGATACGCAAGAGCATGCTCTACGTATGAGCAATTTCTAAAACGAGGTAAATTATAAACAAGCCAGTTGATGTAACAAGAATATCAACAGTCTCGTTTAAAGTCATAATTTTGTAAATTTTATGGTCGCTACAATGACCTTGTCAGCAAATACAATTTATCATTGAGACAAATGCTAACTGACGTTTTTCATACTTATTGTTAGTCCATTATTTATACACTGAATTGACGACGGATTTTTCCGTTATTTCCCGATCATGACATGGAGCACACGGCGGGTGTGACCGGTCAGCAGGGGATGCTCACTCCTCCATAGCACCTGATCCCACCTCCGATGTTTCGGAGGTCCGTGTTTGCTCTCCTTCAATTTTGTATTGTTCTATGGACTTTGAATACTGTTTGTTATCTCCATATCCTTCTTGTATTGAAAAAGTTTTCTGGCATAGACATAGCATAGCTACGTAGATAAAGCTTACTTGTATAGCTAATGCTTACTGGTTTGTCCAGGTTTGTAGATGGCTTTATCAGTCTGGATCATCACAGAATGGGTCTTTGGATTGAGGGATACTTCTGTGTGGTTACTAAAGTTAACTCTCCCTTCTCCCTGTACCTTAACAGCATATGTCCTTCCAGCTATTAAACTGGATGGAATCTGTGGGACAAACAATAATATTAAAATAAAATTACTAATGTAGGAATGAAATATGGATTAAGAACCAATATTCCACATCATAAGTAGAATCAAACAATAAAAAATTAGGAGCAGAACAGTAGTGATTTCATGTTCCATGGCAGAGTAAGTATCCGCTGCCGACCGATCACATCCGCCATTTGCTTCCAGTCTTGATCGAAAAAAAAAAAATCGAAAAAATTCCGTCGACAATTCAATGTGAAAATAGTGGCTTTACAATTGATGTGAAAAACGTCAGTTAGCATTTGACTTTATGATAGCCTGTATTTACTGACAAGGTCATTGTTTCGACACTTGAAGTTGCGAAATGAATGTTTCTGTTGCCAGTATACAGGGGGCTGACATGACTAAAATACATGTAATATAAATATAAATCATCATACAGAGCAAATTAATCACATCTCTTTCCATATCTTATTCATAACAATGCAAAATCTTACCTTTAAAGGAATTGATTGCAATGTTGGATTGTCGGAATCTACATCAAAATGAAATAAAATTGCATTATAAAAAAATATCAGAAGATATCAAATTGTTGAAATCTTGATTGAAGCATGGTATGTGTTTTTAGTTTTTCTGAACAGCATTGTTATCATGTGTTTAAAAAAGTAATTATTCTACATAATGAAAGGATTAAAAATGAAAGAAAATCCAATAAGTTATTTTTTCTAAAATGTCAACAAGTGACCAGTGCATAAAATCTTTATATACATTGATGTCTGTGATATTTTTTACACTACTTCGCTACTTTCGTACCCATTATTCTCCTTTCAGATACGATAGTCCTATTGTAACTATCCAAAAGATTGGCCACCACCGTGGTTCCGGGGCCACCACTCGTGGCGTCCATCGTAGTGCCCATGGTACTTGTAGTGTCCAAAAGCTGGACGAGAACATTCACGTTCAGACCGGGACGGATCGTTTTGGGGAACATGACAAGGTACGAACTAAAATAAAGTCATGAGCAAATAAATCCTAATTTAGACTGCTCTCTAGCTTGGTTTCATATAACGAAAATATAAATCAAGTATAATTTATGTTTTATAGTTCCAGTGAGCAAAACGCTTGCGAAAGGTAAAATTATTTTCAGTGCTTTCTGAACTAATCTTGCTAGAAATAGGAAGAAATAAAATCAAATACATATTTCTATATCAGGATGTTCACACAACTCATATTATTTCTCTTCATCCAGTTCAACTGATCTGGAGAAGGTTTGTAAAATAGTTTTGGTATATCCAAGAAAAAATAATTCAATCATAAATGTTAGAGTATTTGATTTCAATTTATCGATCTATTTAGAAAGGTGTTACAAGCAAACTGACACTAGCGTCAGATAGTGATTAAAAAAACTGTAAGTACAGCTTAAAAGATAGAGTCAATTTATCGCTGGATACTTACTTTTTGGCAAGACAAGAGGAAATAGATGTAAAAATAATAAACAAGAAAAATCCAGCTTCCTTCATTCCTGTAACTGATAAATTTAAAACGAACTCTTGGAAAAGAATTCAAAGTAATAAGCCTGTACATTCATGCCTGTTGTTATATTATCTAAAATCTCGGAAAGTACTACAGTATATTTCCCTCTCCCATTTACAACCTGCAGAATATCAATCTTAATTTAATTTAAATTTTAATCAATGGAAAAACCAGTAGAACCTAGTTATTTGAAAGGTCAATCAAGACTTTGAAGCCTTTTGAGGAAAATTAAATGCGTTAGTGGTGTTTATGGGTTATTCCCCAATAAGCCATACCAAAAACAAAAAGTACATATTTTTATGCCATAGAGCGTTAAATCTTTTGCGTCGTCAAGTGAATTTTATAACAGGGAATTATCTTTCTCCAAGAAGAGCCTTCTTAACATTTTTAAAGGTACTTGGACACAGATTTGAAGTTAATATTTTCTCTTTATTATTACGACTTATATATTTTAATAGCATTTCACACAAAAATTATTTAAAAATCTTATTTCATTTAAAAGTTATTAAAACTTCAAATTTTTTGACGGGTTTGATTGACACATCCTTGCACTTTCACAAATTTTGATTTTATTCTTAATCCTTAGGAAAAGTGGCAATCTTGTTGTGTATAAATGAAAAATATTAAGGTTAACTTGATAGAGTAGATCAATTATTAAAAAACAAAAGCCAAACTGCCTTTCCTGCTTACAACGTTCAACTAATGCTGAGTTTCTGTCCGATCATAACTGTTCTTCCCCATTTCAGGAAATATTGTCCATTAGGATTATAACTGGAGCGAAGCATCCAATAAAAGAAAAATAACTGCAATGTGCACCGAATTTTTTCACACACAGTCTTTTTGGTCAGAATTAATTATCTTAATACATAATATATATTCGTTTTATATTATAGAAATATGTTATTTTCCCCCTGTCGCTGCGTGTTCTATCATGTGTTGTTGTTTAAGCATCTTGTAATTTTCAGGTTAAATAAGTCTAAACAGAACAATTACCGGTAACTGCCAGCAAGGGGTTTCCAATGTTATTTAGCATTAGTTATAATGCTCTAATATGATCATTTCATTTCATTTTACTTAATCTTTGTTTTCTTCATTTGCGTTCCATATCAGGGTGTTAATAGAAATACGTAATATATGACATTTGTTGTTTTTATTAAAGTTGTTTCGTAAGGGTATTTATAAGAGTAGTGTCAGCTCACTCAGTCACTTTGAGAAGATTTAAAGTTCTTAAAAATGGATAAAATCGCAATATATACAAACAGCTCCATTATCTCTTACATTGGGGCTACAGTAAATAACGTCACAGTGTCCATATACGACCCTGAACCTTCTGACAGATCGGCGGAACTGGCGATTTTAAGGACACTTCACTGGATCTTCAGCTCCATTATTGGCGTCATTGTCGTCGTTCTAGGAATCACCGGGAATACTCTCTCGTTGATCGTCTGGAGGAAGAGATCACTACAGTCCTCCACGGGACATTATTTGACCTTTCTGTCTTTTGTGGACTTGATCGTTCTCGTGCTCTACTTCCTGATCGAAAGCCTTCCTCAGATTGAGCCTCTTCTTCGGTTCTCGCCTAACTATGGCGCATTCTACTCCTATGTCGGTTACCCTTGTTTTCACTTTGCCGCCATGGTCAGTCTCTGGTGTATGGTTGGAGCCACTTTTGATCGGTATATCCATGTGTGCTGTCCTTCAAAAGCCAAGGTGAGTGTATGCATGCATGTTTATGTCTGTATCATAAGAATTACTCTGAATTACTAGTATCTGATATTCGAAATATATACAGTGCAGTTAATATCAGCACTGTGTTCCATATAGTAAGCAGTTTTCTTTTAGATACAAATATTGCATATTTACTATGAACTATGTAGTTAAAGCTAACCTTTACGTGATAACATTTTGCATAACTACTTAATTGGCTGCTAAATTATGTAGGCGATGTTTTTATCTATATGATGGATAGCGTATAAAAATATTACACAGTGAAATATAAGCTAACTGATTATGATTTTTCACGCACCATTCGATAGTTTTTTATAGATGTCACCATATATATATATGTTGGTAAATGACTACGAATTAAAACTTACACTCAGCATTCATTTAGCAGTGAAGGTTCTTTATCGTTCCAACGCCTATCGCGACAAGGGACCCTGGTTTTTAAGGTCTTATCCGTGAATTCCACTTCCCCTGTCGGTCGCTTAGCAATGAACAGTCACTACCTATGTTGATGTCTTATGTTTGACGAAGCACTGCAAACAAGAATTGAACACGCACCTTCGATCAAAAATTTAAGTAGAAGGACAGAAAATTAATTTAAAAATAATATCTTTCATAGTAATTTCGTGTCTTACTTTACAGTTATTTATTTTTGTGTTAAACAGCTTTGGTGCAAGAAAAGGAAAGTCTACTTAATTCTTTGCCTGGTATCTGGAATTTGCTTCTTTTTCACCATTCCTCATTTCCTGACGTACGTTCCTAACAAGGAGTCGATTTATTCCTTTGTCTTTACGGAATTTGGACAAAGTGATACGAGGAACAAATACATCTTTTGGGTATTCTGCTTCTTCCTCATGAACTTAGCTTGGTATCCGCCAGTGTTCATGAACTTGCGAATGATTCGACACTTGAAGACGACCAAGATTCCGAAATCCCAGGCCAAGCTAACACGCATGCTTCTGTACGTGTCCTTTGCCTCTCTCCTGTTGCTGACGCTAGGGTGTTTCCCCCAGTGTTTCTTGATGTTTTTCAAGGTAAGTCATATTTACAAATTTGGATCAAATTAAGTTTTCTTCACGTAACACGAAGGACATCGTTTCAGATCTTTACTCATGCAAATAATAACAGACTTTAAGCTCAGCATTTACAAAAATTACTTGATGTATCTGTTTCTCATTTAGATGCGATTACAAATTGTTTGTCATAATTTTTAGATGGATGACATTGCCATCTTTCAGGAGGCGTGGTCCTTGACATTACTTGTAGTTGTGATCCGCTCCTCTGTTAACACTGTCTTCTACACACTGTTTTATGATCGATTCTGCAGGGAACTTAAACGAGTGTTTGGATGTCTGAACGATGACGTATCTGAAGGTGATGTTCCGTCACATGAAGAATCCACCCCGTGATTCATCCATAGCAAATGCAGGACGGAAGTACAGGATGCTTAAAAAGCGTCTTTTAAAAAATATGTAACTGTAGATCACTTAATTTTGCAATACTATTTTCGCTAGATTGTCATCAAATCTTTATCAGTGGGACAAAATTTTCACAAATTGTATTTTTTGCCCTATATAATCAATAGGAATACTGATATAAGTAGAAATGAAGTTGTCGCGAGTACAAAGCCTCGAATAATTACGCTTAAATAAAGTTCCCGCAAATAAAAAAGTGATTGACAGTATGTATTTGTATTCACATCAATTTGCATCGTCTAGAAAACAGGCAAACGCTACCTTTGTTTTTTAAAAAAATATCTCCTTGTAAAGGTAAATGAAGATGAAACTTGTACTAGACCTGTACATAAAACGAATACTAATGAGAACAATAAAATGTGTACAAAATAATTCGGAGATGAAAGAGAAGATGGAGCAGTAAGTGGTGTTATACGTACATTATAACAGACTTAAAGGTATGTCACTCGTCATCTTTTTAGAAAAGTTGACGCAGATCCTCTTGCTTAAAAAAATATTTATCAATTTTCAATTTTTATTACATTTTTAAATTCAACAATGTTAATGTTTTAACATTCAACGAAAATCTACAAATAGGCAAGATTTATGAGTGACTATTTCTTGTGGTGGAAGGATATTTAGCAGATAATTCTGCAAATCTGCACATTGAAAAAATTCAATATCTTGGAACTTTAGCATCGCATACTTTTACTCGGAGAATACTTTTCCGATATGATATTGCTAGGAATATTTAATATAGGTCTTAATTTATATTTTTAGAACAATTTTTACACCTTCCTTCAGCAAATTTGCCAAAAAATGAAGATACGTAAAATAAGTGTAGATAAGGTTTATACCATTATTCGCCTGAAAATCACATATTTTGACCAATATTTCAAAATTAACGTCACTGACATCAACTTTTTCTTTCATTATCTTAAAGTACTCAATACTTGTGCCTGATCAGCACTAAAGTCGGAAAAAGCTTGATTTAATAAAATGTTTTATTGCCTATTTACTTTTTTAATACCCCAAATATTTTACTTTTTGGTGCAAAAAGGTCACACAATAATTTACGCGCATTAATTTGCGAGATTTTTTCAATGATAAATATTATTCAAATTATTTTAAGTAAAATAGAATTATATTTATTGCCATGGTTACATCCGATAAATTATAACAAAGGTTAAAGTAATTTACCAAAGAGTTAAAGTTGAAGTGCAAAAAAGGTCAACGTTAATTGTACCGTAGATCAGTAAGATGCACACTGATCCCCTATTTTCTCTGCGATTTTGAGTCACACTATATGAGTACTTATCCAAAATATACTTCTCAAAAAATCCTTGATTTAACAAATTTCATGAGTGACATACCTTAAATAGAAACGCAGATGCATGTTAATCAAACTTTGATTTCATAATACAGCGTTTCACTGATATTAAAAAGTGGATTATTATGAATAGTTTCAAAATGAGAGCCTTAAGGTCCAAGATCTAGTAAATGTCTTTAGACTAAATTCTTGGTGTTAGATCCATTATGACGTCATAATCACTTTCAACTTTCTTTTTTCCTGTACTTTACGGTTCTAATAGAATTATGTAGTAAATAAAGTATTTTCATGGAATACAATTTGATATTACATGAAAAGTACATATCGTCCCGATACCTACATTAAATTTGACATTGTTTTAAAGAAGAGGCCATTAACATACAAATTACCGTTTTTGGAAAGACTTTAGGCAATCTGGATACATTTTCTTCGTCTGATATGGATAAAACTCCCATATTCATGACAGTTTTTCTTAATTTTTCATTGGAAATGACAGTTTAACCTATGTTTTATTCATCTTGTCTACTTATAAATCATGCACCGAAACACTTTATTTGACAAAGCTTAAGTTATAAAGCATCATCAAAGAAATTTATTTCTCAAATTTGACAAATCTGTAGGCATCTTTCATTTACTAGATCTTGACCTTAAGATTTATTAAATTTAAATTGGTAAAGAAGGGTTGAGTACTTTAAAATATTTATTATTATTCGTGGATTTCAGAAAAAAAACTAGCAGAAAGTGCTTATTTCTAAGTTCACGTTCATTTAATTCACCCAAACCATAATTGGTACAATGGATTCAGATTATGGTCAATGGTCAGAGGGCCGATATGTCGATAGACCAAACGAATTAGCGCTCTGGATATCTTTCTCAACTGATTCGAAACTTCAAATTAAACATGAAACATGTAAATATTTAGTGTCTAGTGGTATAGTAGTAGTGCTATTTGTTTTTGTTTTTCCCTTTGCTTTTTATGACTTCTTAACTTTTTGCTTTGTCCCGAGGAAGGGACAGGTCGTCCCGAAAATTTGACAATTTATATTGTTCGTGTCATTGGTCATTTTAGTGTTTTAGTACTTCCATGGCGCATTGTTAGTAAAATTTGTTTTGATTTTTGTCGTAAGAATATGTAAATAAACTTATTATCTATGTTTGTGCTTATATTCATTTGTAAACTTGAAAATAAAACAAGTTATGATTCTTTATATTTAGACACTCTTTTAAAACAACAACGACTTTTGGATAAATAAATAAATAATTTTGTAAATCAGGCAAAATAATTGTAGATAGTGTTATAAACACTTTCCTAGGACGGCAATATTTCTTATGTCAATATATATCAATATCAAGCAATTTGAGCAGAGAATGAAAAAGGTAAAGTAAAAAAAATAATGATCGATTTAAACAAAAAACCCTTATCATCAAATGTGTGAAAAGGTCATAGAATACGGATGCCGGAAATTCCAGATGTGGGATCAGGTGCCTTGGAGGAATAGCATCCCCTGTCCAACGGCCACACTCCCCGTGAGCAATATGTATTGGTCAGGTAGACAGAGTATTCCGTCAAATTAAGTTTAAAAAGCCTAAAAATGGTATTAAATATATCAATTGAAATTCTAAGCAATGATACATGTAAGCTGTACTTGCAAATAAGGTCATTTTAACGACAACATTTATAAAATGCTGTCTTTAATCAAGGTAGTTGAAACCCCTTCTGTCTGTAGGCTGCCTTGGTTTAAATAATGATTGTACTTAGAGTATGCTATCAAATTTTGAATAAGTTGGAAGTCATAAATACCATATAATGGTAATGACAGAATATATATTTACTCAATGTCATGCTTTGATTACGTTCAAAACATAAGGTACGATACTGAAATATATGATGTAAAATGGATTGCAATATCCTCATTTAAAATCAGCATTTCTTTTATGGTCGTTACAATGATATTGACCCATTATTAGGTCCGGTTTTGACTGACTTATTTTTATAGCAAACTATTAGATATTTGTTTTTCAATTGGATTTGATGGATGTAAGTTTTTTTTTTAAATACAACAAAATAGAACACCGTTTTTGGAACAATTGACAGTCGTTTCTAATTTTAAAAATCCCACTGAGTCTGACACATCTGTCTCATACTTGGATATTTAACTTGAAAAAGACGTTAATGGTAATCTAACAACCAAGCTCTATGATAAACGTGATGACTTTAACTTTTCTATCGTCAACTCCCATACATATACAACAATATACCTTCATCACCTGCATACAGCGTTTATATATCTCAGTGGATTCGATACACTATATATCAGATGCAATTTATCATTGAGTCAAATGCTGACTGACGTTTTTCATACTAATTGTTAGCCCATTAGTCATAAACTGAATTGAAGGATTTTTCCGTTATTTCCCGATCATGACAAGGGGTACAAGGCGGATATGCTCACTCCTCCATGGCACCTGATCCCACCTCCGATGTTTTAGAGGTTCGTGTTTGCTCTGCTTGTATTTTGTATTGTTTAATGGACTTTGATATTGAATACTGCTCTTTATCTCCATATCCTTAATATAAAGAGATTGTTTGTTGACGTAATTTTAATGTTGAGTAATATTGATTCGTCTTATATTTTCAAGTTAGTAACCAACAATTAATACATAATTGAAATGACTCGTAATCAATATAAAATTATAATACTTTTTCTCCATTTATCCATTTGTAAGTAATTCTGATAAATTATGTGAATATATCAATCATGTACAAACCATTACCGATTTAATGACTTTTTTAAACGCATAAATTGTACATTCCAGTGATTAATTTCATTTCTTTGTTGAATTATCAACGAATAATTAATGCTTATACCTTTTTATATTGCTAACTCCTAGGTACTAATTTTACCGGAGACCGTCTTTTATTACCTGTTCACAGATATGTATTTATAGATGTCTTGTGATCCATCAATGTCCGTTATCTTTACCTTCTTTTTTTCCTTACCAAATTGAGGATAAAATATAACGTTTATAATGAAGGATATGGAGATAACGAACAGTATTCAATATCAAAGTCCTTAAAACAATACAAAATAGGAGCAGAGCAGGATCCGACCGGTCACACCCGCCGTGTTCTCAATGATAGGGAAATAACGAAAGAATCCATCATGAATTCAGTGTATAAATAATGGACTAACAATTAGAATAAAAAACGTCAGTCAGTATTTGACTCAATGATACATTGTATTTGCTGACAAGGTCACTGTGTCGGCCATAGAACTTAAAACGAGACTGCTGATATTCTTGTTTCATCAGCTTGTTTGTCAATAATTTACATCGTTTCATACGTAGAGTATGTTCTTGCGTATCGAATCAACTGAGACATGTAAACTCCGTATACAGGCGATAAAGTAATATTGCTGCATAAATAAGGGAAATTGACAATTGAAAAGTTAAAGTCATCACGTTTATCATAGAGCTTGATTGTTAGATTGCCATTAACGTCTTCTCAAGTAAAATATCCAAGTATGAAACAGATGCGTCAGACTCTGTGGTATCTTTTATCTCAAGCTCCCCAGGATATATCGTATCGGCAAAGGAATGGAATTAACCATTGTTAATTGACAACACGTCGTCGATATATCTAAATGTCGAGTTGAAAGCCACAGCGAGTGTGTTTTTCTTTTCATGCATAAGATTTTGCATAAATTCGGCTTCATATGAATACAAAAATAGGTCTGCTAATAACGGAGCGCAATTGATACCAATGGGAATTCCAATAGATTGTTGGAAGACCTGGTCTCCAAAAAACAGATAGATATTGTCAATCAGAAACTCAAGCATCTTTTTGATGTCAACTTCAGAGTACATCTTGTACTTGTGTGTGCAATCAGAATGTATTTTAACAAAATAATTTTGCAAATGACCAATGACAAGGAAAATAAATTTACGTGACCCATTCTTATTTAAAAAGCAGCTGTCAATAATATCAAAAAGCCTGGACTTTCATTTATTATGGGGAATGGTTGTGTATAAAATTGAAAAATCGTAAGTTTTTCAGCTGTATATTTTGGTAAAATCTTGTGAATTCAAATTGTCCAAAAGTTCTTTGGAATTTTTGAGTATCCACATCTACACCACTCCTTGAATATATTGTTGCATAGTACTCTTGAATTTTTCTCCTTTACTACTATCAATATCTTAGTGAGAGGTAAAGAAAGAGGCTTGGTTGAACATTTACTTGAACCCATAATGTATCTTTGTTTGTAAGGATTCTTATGATGCTTCGGAATCCAATATATATTGGATATATTGTTCAAATTCATTTTGGTTCCTCGGGATATTAAAAATATTCAAAACTGACATATGATTTTGAAGAATTGCTTACTTATAAAGGGAACTATGAGTATAAGTTGGATTACCACTTGTTAAATTAAATCCAAGTTCTTCTAAAATACAATTTATATAACGAGCCTTACAAACGAAGACAATGTTGTTACTTGCTTTGTCAGCAGGGACCAGTACGTACTGATCATGTAATCTATCTAATTCTTTTTTCACTTCTAGATTACTGAATACACAAGGATAGATGGCTTTCATATTGCCCCTCAATCTTTTAACACGTGATTTTAACATGGATCTGATACATTTAATCCATTCTGACAAAGTTTCAACGTCTTTTTCATATCTGACCCATCGTAATCTTTAAAAGAATCCATAATATTTATGAAATATCGACGCCAGTTAAAGAATCGGGGTTCCCTATATTTAGGACCTTTTAAAATAAGAGATCTAAGGTCCTCATTAATAACTATATTTACGTCTCCTGTAATAACGTGTCCAGCAGGACTATAGTTATAGGGCGAAAAAGAACATGAACACGATGGAGGATTATGTTTCAGATACTCGATATCCAGGCCATGTAAAGTTTTTTTGTAATTGAAAAGTTTCGAAGCAATGGTTGATATATATTTACAGGAAATACAAGGTGTTGTCTTTAACTTGAAATATGGTGGAACACAAGACTGGACCCTTTTGTGATTACGAATATTACTTATATTAACCGCGTTAATTCCTTTATTTGCATATTTAAGTTTAAGGAAAAGACAGATTAACTTGTCACTAATTTTCTTATCCAAAATTCTTCTTGTTGTCTACGGAAAGGTGTACTCAGTGACGGACTATTTGTGTGGTGATAAATCTTTTCGAGAATTCTAACTTTCATCAACAAAATAGAATGATCAGGTAAATTAAAATGTTTGTATAAAAGCTGCTGACCCCCATGATTTATTTGAAATCGATGATGTGATATTCTTTTACTAAGTGATCCCTTGGTTTCACTGACATAAACAAGTCCACACAGATTACATTCTATTCCATAGACAACATTAGAAAATATGCAGTAAGATTACTGGTGAAAGAAGAGTCTGTGTCCCTTATAGCCTCAAAGGAGTGACGCCTTTTCATACTGGGCGACGCGCCTGCCAGTATCATTTCGTTATTCTGTGTACTCATGAATGAATAGGTACCGAACGACAAGTATCCTCGGGAACAGACTGTCCACCAGCAGAGATACATGTACGGTGTTTAAAATGAAAGATGAAGGAATAGACTATATACTGTTTTTTTTTATTGATTTTTCATTCCTTGTATCTTCTAACCAAGTAAAAAAAGAAATAGTTTTGTTATTTTCTTGAAAAACCCACACATTTTAACAAAATATTTCTCTTTTAACTTTTTAATGCAATGTTTCCGTAATAATAATTATAATAAATTTAGTTTCAATTCAAAAACATCTTGCTATGTAAGAAACAAAATAAGTGACAATCTTAGTTTACTGAAATCTCGTAAAAAAGCAAACACACTACTTGTCTTAACATTTGTAATGTCACCTCTCTTTGTCTCCTTCGGTAAGGTCTATCAAGTCCAAATGTTAAACTGATTGCTTGAAAAACCTCAAATTTTAAACAGTCTATTTTTTTTCAAAACCTATTGTTGAACATAATCTTACAGTATTTTAATATAAGTATGTGTGTAATTTTAAAAGAGAAAAATAGACTGAAAATAGTGTGTAGAATATAATTTATTTTAAATAAAAACACTCATACTTTAGTGGGCATCAAATTTACATAAAATGACAAAGCAAAATATTGGCAACCTTACACGTATTTTTCTTAGCATAGTAGCAGAATTATATTTTTAAAGATACTACTTCGAATTTTTAACGGTAGATAACAACGATTAAATCAAGGTCTCATCTGCCAGTATAGTTAAGACTGAAAAGAAAAAGAAACAATTCAAATTAAAATTACAAGAAATACGTCTACGTTTATCAAAATATGTTTCAAATTATTAAAACTTTTGACTAAAATAGAGCGTGTTCATATTACTATAAATTGAGGTTGTTTGGTGGAGTAATTTACATGTATTTCTACTTACCATGTCTGCACAGAAGCACTCTCTACCACAAACATCACAAACTCCTGAGTCCGCCAAAACACTTGACGTATAAAATATGGTTGCTTGATTTTCTGATAGAAAAACGGATTAATCTCAGTAAGCTAGTAAGATACATAATATTTCATTTGAACTAAAATACCAGTGTTTTATTCATCAGTACTTACTGGAGTTCGTAATAATCGTAGAGTCTAATGACAGAGGGCTGCTTCTCTGCTACTTTATCTGTGTTGGCCATATACCGTAAATCTGGAAATTTTTACGTCGATTTTATTTTGCGAATTCAGGTCAAAATGCTGTTGATTGATTTTTATGTTTCAAAATTTTGCGAATGACCTATGCTTTGTTTACATTTTCTTATTGGTAATTTATTTTTAAGAAAAATATTTTTGCGAATGCAATGATTAAATTTGCTAAAAATTTATCTACAGCAAAAATTTCCAGATTTACGGTATACAGATGCACACTGTGCTTGTTTGTCAAACTGAAGACATGAAAACGTGCTGCTATTAAATTAATTTTTCTTATTTAATCTTTAAAAAAGAACAAAATTTCAATACACTGTAAATTTAGAATTGAGAGCATACAAAACAAATACCTCATCAAAATACAAAGATAGTTTCCTATATCCCATCTCATTACGTTTATACATGGGAGCTTTAGATGTATCGAGTGTCTCCAAATCAGGGGTCATACCCGAGGGTATTCCGATATCCATCATAGCCATTCCAGATTGACCCCCTTGGAGCCATCTTAAAGAAATAATAAATAGTAAAAATTAAATTGAAATCATTGATGTAATGATCATTATATTTTGATTACCTTCCACATATTTTCACTGTGAATCCTTTTGTTGTTTCATCTATCAGCGTTACATTAACGTCAAAAGAGGAAACTTCAATGTCTTCATTAATGTTGAAGTAAGTTGAGATCTGCCAGAAAAGCAAAAAATTGTATTTAATAAAAAAATCATCAAAATGGATGTATAGGAAGAAATATGAATATATTACCAGTAAAAATATTTTTGTACCTCAGCTATTGCAATGCCTGATCCTTCAGCCATGACACCGAGGATTTTCACTTCTTGAGGAATCTATTCAAACGTTAAGATATATATATATATATATATATATATATATATATATATATATATATATATATATATATATATATATATATATATATATATATATGCTCAGATATAAATAGAACAAGATATGTTTGTGAAACACTGATGACACCGTATGGCAACATAGCGAAGATTAAACTTTTCTTAAATGCAAATTTAATATATTGGTACCCAAAGTAGGGTATTTTCAGTGGAAATATAATTGTGAAATTTGAAAGAAGTCCAAGGATAATTTTTTCAAAAGCACGGAAATCTCCAAGGTCAAGGTCAAAGGGCAAGGTAATTGGTATCCAATGAAAGGTCTTGCCAAAAAGAATAAAAATGTGAAGTAGGGAAGCTCTAGCTCTAACCCTAATGACCAAGGTTGAAAATTTTAAAAAGTAGGTCAAACTCAAAGGTCAATGTCAAAGGGTCAAAATTCTTGAAATCAAATGAAAGGTCTAGTCACAAGGATTAAATATGAAAGTATGAAAGCAATAGCCCTAACCCGTAAAATGTGATGGTCAAGGATTGTTTTTTAAAAGTAAGTCGAAATCCAAGGTCAAGGTCAAAGGGTCAAAGTTCTTGGTATCTAATGAATGGTCTTCTTACAAGGATTACATATGTGAAGTATGAGAGCACTAGCCCTTATCGTTCAAAAGTTATGGCCAAGGTTAAGGTTTTTTAATAATTGCAGAAATCTCTAAGGTCAAGGTCAAAAGATCAAAGATATTGGTATCCAATGAAAAATACATATATGAAGCACAAAAGTCCTGTTACCTACTGTTCGAAAGATAGGCCAAAAGTTAAAGTTTTGACTGTTTAAAAGTGGGTCGAACTCCAAAGTCAGGGTCAAAAGGTCAAATTTGGTGGTACCCAAATAAAGGTCTTGTCACAAGGAATACACACATATATATGAAATATGAAAGTCATAGCTTCTTTAAATCGAAAGTTATTGGCAATGTTTAAGTTTTTGTGGACAAACAGCTGGACAGACAGACAGAGAGACAGACAGACAAAAGGACGGACACAACAAAAACTATATACTCCCCAAACTTCGTTTACGGGGACATAAAAAGGCATATACTTTTCAAAGATAATATTCTATGATAGCTATACGCACATCTGTGGTCTGAAGAATGAGTGCGTTTTCCCGCGTTACTTTAAATTCGTGCTGGAATGGTGCCCCCGAGGTTTTGCTGACAAGTCTTACACGCATGTTTAAGTTTGGACTGTAAACCATTGAAGCGAATTCTGCCATGGCTTGGAGAGCCACAATAGTGTCCTATAAACAAAATAATTAGCAGATGCAAAACGTACAATAATTCAGTGTTTTAGGCCAAAAAAATTCTTGCTTCCTGCTACCAGCCTGAAATTGATATAAAATAACAAGATAAAACTAGAGGTACTGTGAGCAAAGAGCTCATTAAATGATACCCCCCGCCTCCTATATGGTTATAATGACAAAGTCCATATTTTGCTGTGGCCGGGAAACCTAAAATATGTGTCGGAAATTAAAATAGAAGGTGCATAATGGCAATATGTAATAAAGATTTTGATAAAGTTTCATTAAATTTCACTCAGTGGTATAAAAGGAGTTGCGGATAAGAGATAGGTATCTCAGACGGACGGATGGACGTACAGACGGACGGACATACCAATTACAGTATACCCTCCCACTTTTCAAGCGGGGGGGGGGGGTATAATTAAACATGTCATAAGTCAATTTTGCCTTTTAAAATTAAATTTCATGTCTCTTGATTCCGAAAATTTCCCATTTTCATTCCCCAAAATTAAAAAAAACTTTAGGGTCGGGTGCAAAGAAAGGTTAGGTCGGGTAGCAGGAAACAAGACTATTTTTTGGCCTTATAAAAGAAAATCAAACCAGATACAAACTAGCAACTTTTTGTGCTAAATCCTGTTGAGAATTGTGAACGATATATACATCGAAATCTTAAACATACCTGTGTTGATGCAAAACCTCCCTCAGGGTTACGCTGGGAGGTGATCCACTTGAGAACAGGTAATCCTCCTTCTAAGTCTTTATTGATAGCTAAACCCAGCAGAGCATATGCTGTTGTTTCTATGTCCACAGCCTTGGCCTGGTCTTTAGGGGGAGCCCATTCCTTCCACTGAATGCCCTTCTTCTCTGGTTTGGACCAATACTTAAGTTCATCTGGATTTATAAAAAGTCATTTCAAAATCTTGTGTAAAGTTTGTCAGAAGAAAGGATAAAACTGCATTCTTCGCAATATAAGAGGTCACAATTATATACCTTTCACATTCGCTTTTTTATTGAGTTTGTTAATCACTTCGTTGACCCTTGAGCTGTTACTTATTAATAAAGCGTATCCAACAAGAGCTAATTCGTACACATCTTCCAGTAGATCTATTTCACCTTCCAGGTAAGTCCTAGCTTTTTTTATTGCTCTTCTTGCTCGATACCGCTCCTGTTAAGGGGGGGACCTATGTCCGAAAAGTCTTTGTATGAAATTTTCAAAACTTTGACATTTTTTTCCTGACCACTTGCTCTTAATTTTAAGGTATTAAAAACAATACCTTCATATGCTTATTTTTACACAGGAGCACGTGCAAAAACAGTGTGAAATGCTAAAAATAGATTATTTTCAGACATTATTGTTCTACCCCAAATATGCTCTAAAAAGAACCAAAAATGTCAAATCACATTCAAAATGAACAGGTATTTAATTAATATGACTTGTATCTTTAAAATGAAGGCAAATTCATTATAATTCATCTCGCCTGAAAAATTATAATGGAGCAGAATGTAAGTATCACCCCGTTTTTCTTGTCGTATTTTTTACAATTTCGACATGCATAACAGGTAATATCTTAAAAAGTCTTTGTGTGAAAATGTTGTAATTCATATTTTTTGAAAGAAATGATTCATCTCTTTATTTTAACAAAGAAAAAAGTATACCTTTATGATAAAATAAACGAGAAATATGACGTTTTCTTTTATTTTCGTACTCTTGTGTCATAAATATTGACCTTTCTGCACTAATAAAAGGAAAGTAAGCACTGACAAACATCTGAATATATAACTTTTTTGCAAAAAAAACCGAGTATTTTGTTTTGATTAGAAACAATTTAAACAGATTAATTCTTTTCTTCTTCATTTCAATCATTCTGCCCCCCCCATTTCCCCGTCAATAACACCTATTAGAACCTAGTAATGACTTTATACAATATAATCTACATGTACTATAAATCAATAAGCAAATATAGGTAAAAGTACATTTCTTAATTTTTTTCTTATTTTTATCAAGAAAATACAATTAATGGTAAACATAAAAATAAATATATTTCCCTGATTTAAGCCGCTTTCTTTGCTGAATTTTAACTGATTTTTTGCACTTGTATATCAGCATACCATCGAGGCATTTATTCACAACTGAAATTGCTATGAATCCTCAACCAAAGGAAAAAGAATTCTGATATTAACAAACTCCATAAATCAAATAAAAATGATGAATATTTTTTTTTTGTCAATTGTGTACGTTATTGATTATTAACAAAGTCATGCCTATATGACAGTTGCAAAAGTCAACAGGTAAAAACAAACGTCGCTATTGTGACGTCACATAACGCTGCTTTGACGTAGAACGACATAGGTCCCCCCTTAATTTAAAAACTGCATAATTCTTGTCTACTGGATAACATAAGAATTTATCTGTGAATATTTTATAAAATTATACTTCTATCTCGTAAAAATGTCTCTGTCAATATCAATTGAAAAAATGCATAGAATCAAAACATAAGAATTTCAAATTCTCCTGGACCTGATCTTCGAAATATAATATTCGTATTCTTCTTTCATCAAATAGCGACGTTTCTTCCCCTTTGCTCTATTAAAAATGTTTTAGTCAAATATGAATATAATAGACTCATTTATAAACCCAGTCAGTCTTCTCAAAGATGATGTCAATAATTATAAATTTGATGACAGTTTATGAGAGTGGATCATTTCAATAGCTAATTCATTTAAAATGTTTATATTAATACCACTAACCTTTCTTTCAGTGTCAAAATAATCATTTAAAAAAGACATACTCCCTGCATGTTCTCTGCTTCTTTAAGAGCGATAAGAGAAAACGCCGTGAGAGTCCTCTCGCCTGCTGCTGAGCCGCCCTTAAAATAAAAAAAAATCTTTTTTTTCTGTACAGAAACATATTCAGATAACAGATTCAATGATGTACCGTTTTCAATTTCCATAGTCTGCTGATTTGAATGATGGCAATCTTCATTATACCACTTTCAAGAAAGTTCAAATTAGAACAATATCATGTGAAACAATATTTATTTTGCTGATGTTTTAATATTCATTCCATTTGATTTAATAGAAATCAATCAACTTCATTTTTAAATTCACATATTTTATAACCCTGGACCACACTTAACAACATTATATTAAGTGGTCCTTAGAACACATTGCTCATGTGAGTAACTTTGGTCATTCTGTTATTTACATGTGACAGATTTCCCCAATTGTATTACCTATTTTGACCTTGCCCATTCCAAAATGGTCATGGTTCGAACGATTCGAGCAAGATTTTTAAGTTATTTTCCTATATACGTCGATGTAAAACTTGGATTCCCTATTGTGGCCCCGCCCTTCCCCCGGGGAACATGATTTCAACAATTTATAATCTACACTAACCTAGAATGCTTCCACATAAGTTTTTTGTACTATATATATTTCTATGTAAAACTTGGATTCCCTAATATGGCCCCGCACTACCCTCTGGGGGCATGATTTGAACAGTTTAGAATATACACTACCAAAGGATGCTTCAGCATAAGTTTAACTTTTCTGTGGTCCTTAAGAAGAAGATTTTTAAAGTTTTTTTCCCTATATATTTCTATGTTAAACTTGGATTCCCTACAGAAGTTCTTGAGAAGAAAATTTTAATGACCACACCCAATTTTGGTATTTTCTTGATTACTGTATCTCCCAATGGAAGGGGATTTTGCCCTTTATTATAACAATTAAAATTCCTCTTCACCCAAGGATGCTTTGTAATAAGTTTAATTTAAATTGGCCCAGTTATTCTTGAGAAGAAGTTGAAATATGAAAAGTTACAAACGGACGGACGGACGACGGAAAACGGCTTTCAGCTCAGGTGAGATAAAAATATAGCGTCATGAGATTCTTAAAATATTCCTAGCCTGGTCCAATATCTGGCCCTAGTTAACGGTTTTCTTGCATTTGAAATGTTTAAGGATCATATATCCTATTCTTGAGTAAACACAAATAAGTGCAAAAATAACAAATACTGTGGTTAGAACTGAAGTACTTCCAAAGATCAAATTAATATGCTGTTTTATTGACGGTTTTCAACCTGCTGCAATGGTACCCTAAAATTCCTTCTTCTTCAAAAAGTATTTAATGCAGTTTTGTACAGCTCTTGCACCTTTAAGTATATCTGTATGGTATCATTGATGAAAGTATTTTGGATAAGTGTTATTTTACACACTTTTTACCTATTACAACTACTATAAAATCATTATTGTTCGTTGAGAACCAATGTTCATGGATTTTGTGGTTCACCTAGGATACTTCAAAAATCCAAGAAACTTTTGGAAAATTTGAAATCATAAGATTTTAACAAATTCGACAGCTTAAAAACTTACGACTTTTCAACTTTACACTCAACCATTCCTCACGATAAATTAAAGTCCAGTCTTTTTGATATCATTGACAGCTGCTTTTACAATAAAAATGGAACTTGTGAATTTACTTAAGGTATCATCGGTCATTGGCAAAATTATTTTGTTAAAAAAGCATTCTGATTGTACGCACAAGTACTTTAAAGTTGACATGAAAAAGATTGACAATTCTGTGTGGTTTTTTGGACACCAGGTCTTCCAACAATCTATTGGAATTTCCATGGGTACAAATTGCGCCCCATTTTTAGCAGTTCTATTCTTGTATTCATATGAAAAAGAATTTTCTCAAACTCTTATACGTGAAAAGAAGAAAGCACATGATGTGGCCTTAAACTCAACATTCAGATATATTGATGACGTATTGTCCATTAACAATGGTGATTTCCATTCCTGTGTCGAAACGATATATCCTGGGGAGCTTGAGATAAAAAAATACCACAGTCTTACACATTTGTTTCATATTTGGATATTTTATTTGAAAAAAGACGTTAATGGTAATCTAACAATCAAGCTCTATGATAAACGTGATGACTAAATTTTCAATTGTCAACTTCCCTTACTTATGCAACATTCTTCTACGATTATCCCCGAGATCAAATAAATGCCGCAGACATTGTTCTCCATTAAATCATAAACCTCATCAAAAAATTATCAGATCAGAAACACGTATCAAAACTGTGCAGTTGAAATTTGCATTTGACTGAAGAATGAAATAGATATGTTAACCACATCGATGTGTCGTCTTTTGCAATTAAAAACTGTATATTGCAGATGAATGTAGGTTTCTAAAGCTAAGCGGGGCTGTTCCACGGACCTCCCTACGCCATATTTAAACTCCGTAATATACGTGATAAAGAGGTAAAAAGGAAATTGATTTTGTTATTTTATATTCAAAAGAAGTATCTAATTAAAGCTACAAACAGATTTATAATTAATAAAAGGCTAATTTTAATGCGGCGAAAGCACAAATCGTCTGCATTCTATTCACAGGTATCAAACAAATTTATACTCTGGTGCTAAACGCTGGTGCTAAATCATGATAAAAATGTTTTACCGTAATCTGTTTCAAAGAAATTTGCTTCACCATCAAAGTAAGGTAAGGACCTCATCAATTAAATACTTAACGTTCTTTTATCCTTTTATTCATTTTATATAAATAATTCATCCAGCTATAAATATAAACGAGAATGTTTCTTATTGTCAAGATTAACGGTTGCATTTTTTATTTATTAAAATTCTTCATCAACGAACACAAAAAGCATTTCATTATTAACTATCAAGATAAAAAAACAGATGTCTTTTCCTTATCTCTGTTATTATTTTTATATAAATTGAAGAGGACACACTATTGATACTATGAGGTAACAGATATTGACTTGTAATGAGTATTTTTTTTTTAAAGAAGATAGGATATTGTAAGTACTCAGGAAGCAGTAGTTCTCCCTTTGTCGAACATCATTTAGTGGATTTTTTTCTACTGATTGGTGTTCATTTCCCAGAAGAGAAATTTAGTATTAATAAAGGAAACTCATGAATGAATATTATGAATCGCAATGCAAAAAATATATTCGAAGCTAATTCTAGGAGTGTCATGACCACGCAAAGCCAGGACATAAAGAAGGAAGTCATTTTATTTACCAAAGTAAATGCAAAACAAAACGCAGTGATATTTAAGTCTTGCTTTTTCATATAGTACATTGGTTTTATATTTATAAGTTGTTTCAAATGTTTTACTCGATGGTTATGGTATTTGCGTATAATGTACCTAAAATAATTTTAAAGAGGAAATTTGTAATATATTTTGAAAAATTTTATATCAAAAATCAATTAAAATATGAAATGACCTTCCTTGTGAATGCAGTTTCCTCTGTTCAAACGTTGACCTGAATATCTTCCATACGAATTGTTCGGTAATTATTTTCATGCTACACTGACAATAGAATTTACCTTTTTCGTAAACATAAAACACACACAGTGGGTGTGCCAGGTGAGTAGTCAAACCTAAGACGTAAACAATTGTAGTATTTGTTCCTCTGCTAAGTACCAGTATTTCAGTTGAAAGCCACGGGTCTTTCGCATGAGACCTTTAAAAGCAAAGTTTTGCGTCAGAACAAATGTTGGCACGATAGAATCCTCTCTTCAGAATTTCCCTGGGTGCAGAAAATATGTCATTTGACATCTTAACCGGTATATGGTGACGTTTCTATTTGAGCAAGGCATCCACAAATTAGAGAATGACGTGTAAAAACAACAAAAATTTATTTGCGAAATTCATCGAAATTCATAAATTAACTTTTAGGCATATGAAAAGAAAATGAACAATCATTTGATTTTTGAAATAAAACTGAAACGCCATTGACATTTTTGTTGTGATGTTTTTATCTAGTTTGCTTTTTTGCAGTTTTTAAATAACTTTTTGATCTCTGTTGCAAATTGATGGTCGAGAAAAGCATAGATGAATGGATTAACGATATTGTTAATGATGTACATTCTATAAACAAACAAAATTCCAGCTCTTGCGGAATCAGAAAATGTCTCCAAAAATTCTTCATTTATTGCTTCAAGCAGGAAGATGATTGCCTGTGGGATGTAGCAGATGAGAAAAAAGATAGTGATCAGCATGAACATCAGGGTAAACTTATAGACAATCCTCTTGTTTGTCTGTTCTTTTCTTCGTTTTCCACTTGTCTTATACAAAACTGGGTTACCTCCAAGTGGTGCATATGTTGGAGTGTCCACTGTACCTGTTGACTGATGTGTATAAGAGGCAACTGGGGTAATTGAATTGTTTGCTTCAATAGAATTAATTCCAATTTCCGAGTCACTTTGCATCTTCTCACTACTGGAAACCCCAGTTTGAAAGTTTAAGTCATTTGCATTGGGAAGGTTTTCAGTGGTCTCATTCCCCTTTTTCTTGCGAATGGTTTTCTTGCATTTGAAATGTTTAAGGATCGTATATCCTATTCTTGAGTAAAGACAAATAAGTGCAACAATAACAGATACTGTGGTT